TCAGCAGAGTCACTGGACTCAAAATGTTAATTCTGCCATCTTCCCAAAGATGCTGCCAAACCTGCTGAGTTTCTCAGCAATTTCTGCTTTCGTTTGAGAATATTGAGAGATTTGGAGTTCCTAACCTAAAATGATATTCCAGAGCAGTATGAAGGGATTGCTAAAGTGGCACATTTTATCCTTCAAAGAGACAATCATTGATGTTCCATTTGCTTATTCAGGTTAGGATTGCCAGCTCTCCCAGAAGTCCTGGAGTCCCTGAGAATTAAAGATTAATTTCCCGTCTTTTGCTGTGAGCAGGATTAGCAAAACTAGAAACAATCAGGGCATTGAAAAACGTGTGTCCTTTGCAATTTTCTGTCAATGCTTGCATACAGAAATAGTGGAGAAGGAGGAAAAGGCTGCTTTACTGCTTCGGGTAATTGACAGAGAGATAAAATCACTAAGGTATACATGCAACCAAAGTTGGCAACCCTGATTCAGGTAAACTAAAATGGCACAGGGAAATCATTCAATGCTCTGGCCCCTGTTGTCTCAGCAATTTCCTGCTGAAAATTACCTGGTAAAGCTGGAAGAATCCGCAGGGAAGCGCTGCCCCTACTCTTCCAGCGTAAAGTAACCCCATGGAACAAGAAATGTTAATGTTTTGCACTGTTTTCCTGAGGGTTTGCAAGTAGTGGATGAATACACTCCTCAGCAAAAGAATGTAGAAAATAACTGCTTAGCAAATGCAGCTGGGGAATATTACGATGCAAACATTTTTTCTTGCAATTAATGAGCATAAACAAAGCAGAAATAGGTTTTCACTATCTCCATTAGCGAAGCGTTCTTTCGGAGATAAGAAATTCAGAGCAGATTCTGGCAGAATCATGAGTACCAAGACATCTCTGAAATTCATCTCGCTTTTGCACAATCTAGAACAGCAAATTGATATATTTATAGACAGATCAAATGGTATTCCAACTGAGAGCTGTCACCACAAATTCCTGGTAGTAATAATGGCTTATCTACTATATAAATAGAAGGCAAAATGAGGGGGAAGACCACCTGCTTCTCACAGAAGAAAGTCATTTGCAGCTTGATTTTAGCATTATCTGAATAATTTAGTATTGCTGTTTAGGCCACCAAGATTCCTAGAATTTCACTCTATAAAATGTCCTACCATCAATAGCCAAATGTTTCTTGCTGTTTTCACCACGCATTCAGCTACACTGCATATTTTGACATGGAAATTGGAGCACGAGCCATTGCTATTGGTTTTCTGCCATATATGTGATGCAGCAGGATCTGCAATCATGGATTACGTCACTCTGTGATCCCCACCCATCAAATAAATCCCAAACAGTGTTCATTAAAATAAACTAGATGAGTGCCAAGGCACTGAAATTCGAGACACATACCATGCTCTGAAAACAGAATCGCTGCCTCAGATTTCTACGATTTGGGTGGATCAGGGATTGGAATGAGCGGGGAAGTTGTTTAATGATTGCTTATCATAATTTCTTTAAAAGATCAGCAGAACTGGTCATGGGGCTCAGAAAGAGCTTTTGGTAACTCAAATCTGGGCAGACACGTCAGGCCTCAGTTTATTATTGACTTTGCAAGGTGAAATGTGCAGCAACGCAGTGATTATATATCACTGCAGTGGGATGTAATTGAACCTAGGGTCAATAGTGTTGCATAAGCTACCCATCTAAAGGAAGCTGACAGCTCCAGGTGTTTTCACTCCCACCTGTAAGGTTTGAGGTATGGAGGTTCCAGTCAACTTTCACAATAATGGAAAAGAAGCAAGAGGGGATGATAGAGAGAAGTGTAAGGTAGCATTTGAGGAGGACTATCCCTTCATGCTACTCCTCCCCTCTCCTTGCAAACTCCCTCCCCAACAAAAAATTCAGCTGGATGGATTCTCTGATGTTATCAAATCCTGAATGCCTTGAAATGCAGTGCATTCTGGACATATCAACATATAGAAGCTTTCAAATTTTCCCTCTATTTTGTTCCTTTGTTGAAATTGGGCATCGCTGGCCAGGACAGCATTTATTACCCATTTCCAAATTCCCTTGAGAAGGTGATGGTAAGTTACCTTCTTGAACTACTGCTGACCATGTGGTGTAGCTACCCTTCCAATGCCGTTAAGAAGGGAGTTCCAGGTTTTTGTCCCAGTGACAGTGAGGGAACGACGATATAATTCTGATTCAAGATAGTGTGTGGCTCAGAGGAGGCTTTGCATCTGGCAGTCGTGATGGTGCTCCCATGTATCTGCTGCCCTTGGCCTTCTGGGTGATAAGAGGTCATGGGTTTGTAAGGTGTAGTTGAAGGAGCCCTGATGAGTGACTGCATTGTGTCTTGTAGATGGTATAAAATGCTGCCACTGTGCATCAGTGCTGAAGGAAGGGAATGTTGGTGGATGAACTGCCAATCAAGTGGGTTGCTTTGTCATGGATTGCCACTAGAGCTGGAATCTATACTTCCATGGAGTAGAAAGCACTGGCTGGCCTTTGGCACCTTCTTACGCATTAGCTGATGGAGATACCAGCAACCCAATAAGCATCAGTCTTGGCTCATTGAGAGCACTCTCACCTTCAAGTGAGAAGATTGTGGGCTCAGGCTACTCTGCAATCTTTTCTGAATTCAGTGCATGAACATCAGAGGTGTTGTATTTCTAGTGAAATCAAGACGCTATCTGTGCTTGCAGATGGAGATAAAAGATCTATGACACCATTTTTTAAAAAAGCAGGTAAATTACCCATATTTGCGTTCCAAATCGCTCCGACACTGGAGGAGGCCAAGGACGGACATGTAGGAGGGGGTTGGGGTGGGGGTGAGGATTTGAAACGGGGAGTGACCGGGAGGTTGGGCTGGCTGTTACGGGCCAGGCAGAGATGCTCGGCGAAACAGTCTACATTTGGTCTCACTGACGTAGAGAAGACCACATCAGGAGCAGCTTTGCTACCTAGACTACACCTCCTGCCACTGTTTCCTGCAAAAACTCTATCCTGTTTTCCCAATTCCTCCGTCTCCGTTGCATCTGGTCTGACGAGGAGATGTTCCCCTCCCAAGCATCCTGGATGTCCGCCTTTTTCAAACACCCCTCTCTGTCATCCAGACAGCCCTCCACCGCACCTCCTCCATTCCCTGCTCCACAGTTCTAAACCACCCCACCAAAAGATAATAAAAAGAGGATCCCCCTTGTCCTGACTTTCTACCCAACCAGCCTCCACATCCGACGTATAATCCTCAAACAATTCCATCAACTCCAATTAGACCCCACCACCCGAACATTTTCCACTCCCCACCCCTCTCTGCCTTCCGCAAGGACCATTCCCTTCGCCACTCCTTAGTTTGCCCCATGCTCCCCACCAACCACTCCAACCAGACTGGTACCTTCCTCTGTAACTGGAAAAGATGCAACACCTGCCCACACACCACCTCGCTCACCTCCATCCAGGGCCTTCCTAAACAGCCCTTCTAGGTGAGACAGAGCTTCACCTGCATCTCCTCCAACCTGGTCTACTGCAGCCGGTGCTCCCTGGTCTTCTCTACAGCGGTGAGACCGAATGTAGATGAGGTAACCGTTTCACTGAGCATCTTCACCTGGCCCGTAACAGCCAACCTAACCTCCCAGTCACTGCCCATTTCAACTACCCGCATCCGCCCCTCCCCCTCTGACATATCCGTCCTTGGCCTCCTCCGGTGTCACAACTATTCACAACACAGATTTGAGGACCAACACCTTATCTTCCACCTGGGCACCCTACAGCCCGAAGAACTCAACATTGAGTTCTCAAATTTCAAATAACCTTCCCACCCATCCCCCCGCTCCCTTTCCAGCCCCACCTCCTCCCTTTCATTCCACCTACTGACCTTCCCTTTCAACTACCAACTGGATTCATCCTTCCCATTGACCAACCAGGTCATACCTGCCACCAATGCCCACCTATCACCACCAATTCCACTACCCCCTCCACCCCCCCTTTATCTGCAGCTCCCCCTACCCCCACATCCAGTCCTGAAGAAGGGTAATACCTGAAACGTTGACTTCTCCTTTCCTCCGGATGCTGCCTGGCCTGCTGTGATTTTCCAGCCTCCTGTTTGTCTATACTTGGATTCCAGCACCTGCACCTTTTTTTTTGTCTCTAACCAGAATTATCCAATATCTTGGTCAATATTTATTCTTCAACTCACATCACTTTCTGCTATTAGGTGGTTTGCTCCGCTACGAATGGTAGAAATTACAGAGACTATACTCCAAAGTGCTTCACTGCCTTGAGGATGTCTCGCAATTGTGAAAAGTATTTATTTAACTACAAGGTTGGTTTTCATTCCAATGCAATGTCCCGTTGGTTCCAACATCTATGTCAAAGCTCTCTGGTGTTTCCACCATGCTGGATATGAATGCCAGGGTCACAGCTGTCAGTTCCCTGGGACAACTTAGTATGGAGCTCGAGCTGGAGCAACACAGCAGGCCAGGCAGAATCAGAGGGGCAGGAAAGTTGATGTTTCGGGTCGGGACCAGCTCCATACTGTGTTGTCTATGACTCCAGCATCTACAGTTCTTGCTATCTCTGTGTCAGTTCTCTGGCGTGTTCTTCAATTTATGCTATCACTTTTAAAATGTTCACCACTTCGACTATTGAGCAACTTCAAAACATTGGATTGTTAGCACACCCCTACTACTGAAATGGAGCCTCTGAGCCTCCCGTAAGCGATTACATTTCTAGATATTTTCTATTTGTGACAAGGTCCACACTCACCTTGTACTGCAGGTTTTTCTACATTGCAACTTATTTAAACTATCAGAATGTACATTTCGTTGCTGTCACAGCATTTACACTCTGAAACAAGAGAACCAGACTAGCTGGGTTGCATTTCGAACTCTGCAGACTTCTGAAACATTTCCCAGTAGTGATAAGTACAAAAGGTTTGATTTTCTTGTAAACATTCATTGACAGAATGTCTTGGGAAAATTGAATGATCTAATGGCTGTTCATTCATTGGATCCCAGAAGCTTTATGTAAAAACTAGACAATTACAACACCATTGGCAGCAAATTAGTTCAACTGAAAGGATAACACAATCTTTCAAAGAATGAGAAAGTTGAAGAAAGTCTTGTGATACAAGTCAATGTGTGCAGGTCCTGTTTCATATGCTTTAGATTCAATCAGTTGTGCGACGTTCTCTCTCTCCAGTCCTCCAGAAATGCTTTTAGACTGCAGGCAAACAGCCAACTGCATGAGGTATCTCTCAGTCACAGTTTATATTGGAAAAAATAATCCCATGTCTCAGGAACAGAAGGCATTGTAGACCCATGGTGATGTTGGATGATGATTGTGCCACCGAAGACAACTTCTTTAAGTAAGTATGGGGATGTAGCCTGTAAACATTCATTCTCTGAGGTTTCCATAGCAACTGTAGAATCTTCTGGGCCTTTACAGAATAAATCCTGGGCATAAAGTCACAGAATGATCCAGAATAAAAAGTGTTTATTTAATCAACCAACCAATTCAGGGAAGGAAATTGGTCCATGTTCCCGAAACCCACGCTTGAGCTGGATATTCACATCCTATGAAATTCTTTATAAAGTGATTTTCTAATTCCCTTTAAAAAGATAATACAGAATGTATTTTAACATGCATTCATGACAAAGAATACCACAATCTAACCTTCCTTTGTAAAAGCAAATGGTAAAAAAATGTGAAAATGATGCATCGAGTTTGGTTTTCCAAAGGGAGGGTCTGACAAGTTTGTATTTAAACCCAAAGGATAATCGTTAGAGACCTAACACCTCTGGTTTCATTCATCTTTGTAAGAAATAATTGGGCAATAGAAAATGCCAATGAAATGCTTTTCGGTGCTTTTCAGCATTCCTTCACCTCTAAAAGGAGGCCAAAGAAAGACAATGGAAGTTTAGTTAACGGGATAATTTTTGTTGCTTCAGGCCATGCTAAGAACAACTTTTGTTTTTATTTATATAGCACCCATAACATCATAAACGTCCTGAGGGGCTTTACAGGAGCATTATGAAATAGATTATACTGTCCAGTCTTCAGAGACCACAGGCTTGGCCACAGGGGTACGGTTTAAGGAGTGCTTTAAAATGATGAAAGAGAGTTATAGAGATGATGTGTAGAAGGTAATCCCAGCTCTAAGGTCACTAAAAGCAAACAGTACAAGTTTTCTTTGCTGGAGAGGTTAGGAGGATCAGTCAGTGAACTCAATGATGGGATGGATTTTAGAGTGATAAATGAGACAAAACAGATGTAGGTGCAGAAGAACAGCAGCTATGGGAAGTTGCATTTTGACAACTGATGAACCAATGAAGAGAGAAAACGGGAGGAATGTGACTTCCAGACCAGTGTTAGGTCCCATACTGGAACTCAGAAGAGTCTTACTGGACTTGAAACATTAAGTCTGTTTCTCTCTCCGCAAATGCTGTCAGACCTACTGAGTTTCTCCAGAATTCAGTGTTTGTTTCAGATTTCCAGCACAGTTTTTGAAGAGGTGACCAAGAAGATAGATGAAGGCAGAGCAGTAGACATTGTCTACACGGACTTTAGTAAGGCCTTTAACAAGATTCCGCATGATAGACTGGTTAGTAAAGTTAGATCACATGGGATCCAGGGAGAACTGACCACCTGGACACAAAATTGGCTTAAAGTAGGAGACAGAGGGTGGTGGTCGAATATTGTTGTTCAGACTGGAGGCCTGTCACCAGTGTTGTTCTGCAGGGACTGGTGCTGAGTCCACTGTTGTTTGTCATTTATATAAATGATTTGGATGAGAATATAGGAGGCATGGTTAGTAATGTGCAGATGACACCAAAATTAGTGGCATAGGGGACAGTGAAGAAGCTTGTCTGAATGAATGAACGATTTATTGTCACACTTATGCAGGGAGATACAGTGAAAAGTGTTCTGTCACCATAACGTGGCACAATTTTGAGGTAGAAAAGAATAAAAAGAACACTAAAGAGTTCATCTTCATAAGCCAGGGTCCCAAACACGGCTTCAGGATTAATGCAAGGTCTCCGCAAGGTCCCTGCTCCGGGCCTACCACAGCCAGGAGTCCCTGCTCTGCCTATCTAAGAGTACAATGAGATATTGATCTGCTGGGCCAAGGGGCTGAGGAGTGGTTGATGGAGTTTAAATTAGATAAATGTGAGGTGTTGCATTTTGGTAAGACAAACCAGGGCAGGACTTACACACTTAATGGTGGGGCCCTGGGAAGTGTTGTCGAACAAGAGAGTCCTATGGATCCTAAGGGACATAGTTCCTTGAAAGTGGCATCACAGGTAGACAGGGTGTTGAAGAAGTCATGTGGCACACTTGCCTTCATTGGTCAAAGCACTGCGCATAGAAATGGTCATGTTGCGGCTGTACAAGAAATTGGTGAGGCCAGGTTTTGAGTACTGCATTCAATTCTGGTTGCCCTACTATAGGAAGGATGTTATTAAACTGGAGAGGATGTAGAATGGATTTACAAGGATGTTGCTGGAACAGGAGGGTTGAGGCTGGATAGGCTGGGACATTTTTTCCTTGGAGCATAGGAGGCTGAGGGGTGATCTTATAGAGGTTTATAAAATCATGACAGGAATAGATAAGGTAAGATAAGCCAAGGTCTTCTTCCAAGGCTAGGGAAATCCAAAACTAGACGGCATAGGTTTAAGGTAAGAGTGGGAAGATTTAAAAGGTACCCAAGGGGCAACTTTTTCCACACAGAGGATAGTGTGTGTTTGGAATGAACTGCCAGAGGAAGTGGCAGAGGCTGGTACAACTACAACATTTAAAAGGCATTTGGACAGGTACATGGATAGAAAGGGTTTATAGGGATAAGAGCCAAATGCAGGAAAATGGGACTATTCAGTTTGGGAAAGCTGGTTGGCATTGATGAGTTGGACTGAAAGATCTGTTTCCGTGCTGTATAACTCTATGACTCTATGACTCCAAAATATTAGCCTGGACTTACTAGTCAAGTGATACTACCACGACACCACCGCCTCCCCTTTCTCCATACTGATTGTACTCCAGAGGTTGAGGGATTAATGCCGAAGAATAGCCATCCAAACATGATACCTCTAGGAACACGCACATTTCTACTCTTTTAAATGAGCATTAACCAGGTTAGACATCCTTGGAGGTGCACCAAAACAAAAAAAAATCAAAGGTTAGTGGAAACTGATACAAATTAAATCAAAATGTCATTACCAGGTGTGACCACACAGTGCTCACTGATTTCTAAAGGCCTGGACTGCACCAGTGAGCTCAGCATGCTCCCTATGCACACTCGTTCCACATGGACATGTGCATTTAGATCTTACCATGGGGGTGCCACAAACCCCTTTAGAGCCCAATGCCAAGACCTGAAAATTGCCACCTTGGCCACACTCAGGAGCAGGCCCACAAGGGGGAAATCTTCTGATCTGGCACACTACCCCTCCCTAGAACATAGATCAGGATCATAAGAACATACATAAGAACATAAGAACACAAGAACTAGGAGCAGGAGTAGGCCATCCGGCCCCTCGAGTCTGCCCCGCCATTTAATAAGATCATGGCTGATCTTTTTGAGACTCAGCTCCACTTACCCGCCTGCTCACCATAACCTTTAATTCCTTTACTGTTCAAAAATTTATCTAGCCTTGCCTTAAGAACATTCAGCGAGGTAGCTTCAGCTGCTTCACTGGGCAGGGAATTCCACAGATTCACAACCCTTTGGGTGAAGAAGTTCCTCCTGACCTCAGTCCTACATCTGCTTCCCTTTATTTTGAGGCGATGCCCTCTAGTCCTAGTTTCACCTGCTCACGGAAACAACCTCCGTGCCTCCACCTTATCTATTCCCTTCATAATCTTATATGTTTCTATAAGATCTCCCCTCATTCTTCTGAATTCCAATGAGTATAATCCCAGTCTACTCAGTATCTCCTCATAATCCAACCCTCTCAACTCTGGAATCAATCTAGTGAATCTCCTCTGCATCCCCTCCAGTGCTAGTATATCTCTTCTCAAGTAAGGAGACCAAAACTGCACACAGTACTCCAGGTCTGGCCTCACCAGGACCCTATACAGCTACAGCACAGCCTCCCTGTTTTTAAACTCCATCCCTCTAGCAATGGCAGACAAAATTCCATTTGCCTTTTTAATGGGGCTGAGTTGCAACCTAAAATTTAAAAGCAACCTTTTAAAAACTTAAGAAGAGGTTTCACACACAAGCCTTTGAAATTACCATGAGAAACCACAAATAAAGCACATGTGGTCCTGCACCCAGCCACTGTTCTCTCCTTAGCCTTTTCTTCCTTATAAGAACATAAGGGATAGGAGCAAGAGTAGGCCATTTGACCCCTCGAGTCTGCTCTGCCATTCAATGAGATAACGGCTGGACTCAGCTCCACTTACCTGCCCACTCACCATAACCCTTAATTCCTTTGTTGGTCAAAAGGTTATCTATCTTTGTCTTAAAAACAACTGCTTCACCGGGCAGGGAATTCCACAGATTCACAACCCTTTGGGTGAAGAAGTTTGTCTTCAACTCAGTCCTAAATCTGCTCCCCTTTAATTTGAGGCTATGTTCCCTAGTTTTAGTTTCACCTGCCAGTGAAAGCAACATCCCTGCTTCTATCTTAACTATTCCCTTCATAATTTTATATATTTCTATAAGATCCCCCCCACCATTCTTCTAAATTCCAATGAGTATAGTCCCAATCTACTCAATCTCTCCTCATAAACGAACCCTCTCCATTCCGGAATCAACCTAGCGAACCTCCTCTGCACCCTCTCCAGTGCCAGCATATCTTTTCTCAAGTAAGGAGACCAAAACTGTGCACAGTATTCCAGGTGTAGCCTCACCGGCAACTTATACAGTTGCAGCATGATCTCTCTATCTGCATTCTGCTCCTATGTGCCAATTTCTATAATCACATGTCATCCTTAACATCTAACTTCTTCAATAATCTCTCTCTCTAAATATCTCCATATTTTCAGCAGTTCTCATAACATTGCAATTCCCTCTGTACATCAGGGTTTGATATGCCACAACTCAATATCATGAAGGCCAATCTAGAACCTTCACTTTCTTGCCACCACTTGCGCTTACAACCTTCTCAGGCTTACCTAGTTGAATCTCTTGAGGAGGCCACTCAGTAGATCGGTGCACGAAAGACTATTAACAATAATGAGAGCTCACGGAGTTGGACATAACCTTGTGTCTTGGTTTGGTAGATGGTTATCAGAGACAGGGAGTGGAGGTAAGGAGTTAATTATCTAATTGGCAGGTATGAAGTGATATTCCTAGTAAATAGAGTAGTGGCCTCAGGGATTCATCATATCTATTACTGGCTTGGAAGAAGCAATAAAAAATTGGATATTGAAGTTTACAACGACACTAAATTAGGTAGCACTCTTAAGTTGTGTGGGGCAGGAACTGATAGAGCCAAAAGCAAAATAAGTGAGTGGGCAAAACTGTAGTGGTCGGAGTTCAATGTGGGGAAGCGGGAAGTTGTCCAGCTTGATTCAGAGAATGACAACTGGAATATTTCTTCATGATGGAAATCTGGGAAGTAAGGAGGAGCAAAAGGATTTTATGTCTTTGTGTGGAAATCAGTGCATCATTAAAGATGCATGTATGAAAGGGAGGGGGTGAATGGATCTATTTTCAGTCCATGGATGTACTAGATGCGAAGTGTCCAGCAGGTTCATTAATACTGTCGGAGAAAGTCAGCAGGCTGCAGGGTCTTCAGGCCTTGTAAAGTATTCATTAAATAGTTCAGGCCCTTTAAAGTCATTTTTGTTCTTTTTCCAAAATGTTTTCCTTTCATTTCTGTTCATGACGGTTCCAATTATTTGTCCATGAACATCACTTTTCTCGAGAAGTTCTCAGAAAGCTTTTCTTACCAAAATAATTCTCAGGATGTGGGCACACCTCCTGAAACTGGATGGCTCGCCATGCCACACTTAATCACATTGCTGGTGGTCTGGGGTCACCCATAAATCAGACAAGGCAAGGTTGACAGATTTCACCCCAAGGGCTCCTAGGCAAATGAGATGGATTTTTACAAGCACATACAAGGATCTGGTTCGCTAATGTGTTTTAGGGAAGGAAACTGCCATCCTTACCTGGTGTGGTGTACATGTGACTCCAGACCCACTGCAATGTGGTTAGGCTCAATGGTTAGCACTGCTGCCTCACAGTACTAGGGACCCAAGTTTGATTTCATCCTTGGGTGACTGTGTGGAGTTTGCACATTCTCCGTGTCTGTGTGGGTTTCCTCTAGTTTCTTCTCATAGTTCAAAGATGTGCAGGTTAGGTAAACTGTCCATGGTAAATTGCCCCAGAGATATGCAGGCAAGGTGGGTTAGCTGTGGGAAATGAAGGGTTTCAGGGATAGGTGTGGTTGGAGGAAGGTCTGGGTGGGATACTCTTTGGAGGATTGGGGTGGGCTCAATGGGCCGAATGGTCTGCTTCCATACACTAGGGATTCTATGACTTCTAACTGCCCTCTTGGCAATTAGGGATGGGCAATAAATGCTGGCCTGCCCAGCAACACTCACATCCTGTAAATGAATAATAAAAAATTCAAGATCATCATTATAGGAGCAAAAGTTTCATTCTAGGTCTATGAGGTTTTGCCTTGTTGCCGAGTGGGACTTGAAGCCTTGTCTTCGGTGTATTTGTCCAGATCTCAGTTGTGTCATTATTCCAGCCTACTTTCCTTTCAGCAACTCAAAATGAACCATCACTGGTATCTGACCACTCTGGAACATTCTGTAGTCGTGAAAGGTGCTACGTAAATGCAAGTCAGTCCTCACCACCAGATCACTCATTGTTTAGCCACTCGGAATGAATTGTATAATTTCTAATGGACAAGGTCTAATCTTTGATAAACCTACCTTCGCACTCAAATTCACTACCTGTGGTGCCGAGTTGTACTCTCAGCTGGCTTCTCTCTCTCTCTCTTTCATTCAATAGTGTATTGAAACCTTGCAACGAACAAACAGTGGGCCTGGTAACCGGAACGATCTGGGAATAGTTGAAGAAATGAGTGTGGCCCCCTAGTTCTCTAACACTGGTTTGTATCGTACCCTAGCAACGTTAAGTGAAAGCAGTAGGTTTCTCATTTGGATGCAAAGTTTGAACCAATTAACTCGTTCTATGTCGGGTCACTAGGCAATGTAGATTCCCACCTCCTCGTTTTTTTTGGGGGGGGTGTTAATTGCAGAATTAAGCGGCGGAGCCAGGTAGCTGTTATTTAATATATTAACGTTTGACCGTGAAATTCCTCCGGTAGTTTCAGGATAGCTCCCATGTCTCTCGACAAACACGCCACATGAAGTATTTCGCCAGGCTGTGATAATTGTTAGTGTGGGGACTTTTTCCCGGCAGACAGAGGCAGTCGGTGTTTTGTTTATAGGGCGGTGGCATCTGCTCATTAAAATACTTATCAGAGAGTACCTTCCCCTCTCTGTTCCTGCTCACAGCCAGCCCCGATGGAACAGCGCGCTGCAAGCACTGCATCTGGATCCGGCTCCTTGGGAACTATGGACCTGAAAGACGATCAGATTCAGCTGCTGGAAGAGAACTTCGCTCGGACGAAGCAGCCAGACGCCTCGACTCTAATGCTAGTTGCGGCGGAGTGTGGTCTATCCGAGGCTGACACAGCGGTAGGTGAAACACTCACTTATTGCCCGGAAACAGACACCTCAAAATCCCATGGGGGTGGGAAAACTGGAACCTCTCAATTAATCCAGGCCGAATATAGTTCGCTTTCTGTCAACCAGTTTTTCGAGTAAACTTCCAGCCTGAACTTTTTATGTTCAGCATTTAGTTGGTCAGATTAAGATTATTGGTTGACCAATCTTAATTGTTGGTTCTCAGGAAGGAGACTTTTTTTTCACTTCTTCACAGGCTGCCAGACCTGCTGAGCTTTTCCAGCTAGTTCTGTTTCCTGTTCTTAATTATTGGCCTTTAGAATCGACATGTATTTTTAAATCAACAATTTTCTTTCCCCAGTGAGCTAGCCTGAGTCCTGCTGTTGGTCTGGGGTCTCACATATTAAAGGATATTACTGAACCAGTTTGGTGGGGTGGGGTTTAAAATGATCAGCAGTGATCACATGGCTTCCCTCAGGGCACCTCCTTTATTCCAGATTTTTATATCATCTGCCACAGTGAGTATCAAACTCCTGTCACCAGAACAAGTCTAATGTTGAGGAGATAGATCCCACTTCCTACAGACAAAGGGGGTGACCGTCGGTACCCGCATGGTCCCAAGCTATGCCTGCCTCTTTGTAGGTAATGTGGAACAATCCTTCTTCTGTAGCTACACTGGCCCTATCCCCCACCTCTTCCTCTGTTACATTGATGACTGTATCGGTGCTGCCTTGTGCTCCCACGAGGAGCTCAAACAGTTCATCCACTTCACCAACACCTTCCACACCAACCTTAAGTTCACCTGGATCATCTCTAATACCTCTCTCTCCTTCCTGGACCTGTCTGTTTCCATCTCTGGCAACCACCTGGAAACCGATATCCATTTCAAGTCCACTGACTCCCACAGCTACCTAGAATACACCACCTCCCACCCACCTTCCTGCAAAAATGCCATCCCCTAATCCCAAACCCTTCACCACCACCGCATCTGCTCCCAGGATGAGGCATTCCACTCCCGAACATCTCGGATGTCCTCGTTTTTCAAGGACCGCAACTCCTTCCCCGCCCCCCTCAGTGGTTGAGAACTCCCTTGACTGTGTCTCCCGCATTTCCCGCAACTCATCCCTCACACCCCCTCCCTGCAATAACAACCAAAACAGAATTCCCCTCTCCCTCCCGTACCACCCCACCAACCTCCGGATCCAACGCATCATCCTCCGACACTTCCGCCATCTGCAATCTGACCCCACCACCAAAGATGTTTTTTCCCTCCCTGCCCTTATTTGCTTTCCGGAGGGACCACTCTCTCCATGACTCCCTTGTCCGCTCCACACTCCACTCCAGCCCCACCACACCAGCACTTTTCCCTGCAACCACAGGAAGTGCTACAGCTCCCACCCCCATCCCAGGCCCCAAGAAAACCTTCCACATTAAACAGATGTTCACTTGCACATCTGCTCATGTGGTTAATTGTATCCGCTGTTCCCAATGTGGTCTCATCTACTTCGGGGAAACCAAGTGGAGGCTTGGAGACCACTCTGGAACACCTACGCTCAGTTCGTGACAAACGACTATACCTCCCAGTCATGGAACACTTCAACTTCCCCTCCCACTCCTTGAATAACATGTCCATCCTGGGCCTCCAGTGCCACGACGATGCCACCCGAAGGTAGCGGGAACAGCTCCTCGTATTTCGCTTGGGAACCCTGCAGCCCAATCGTTTCAATGTGGACTTCACAAGCTTCAAAATCCCCCCGCCCCCGACCCCGCCCCCGACCCCATCCCAAAACCAGCTCAGCTCGTCCCCATCTCCCTGACCTGCCTGTCCTTTCTCCCACCTATCCACTCCTCCCACCTCCTACCTACCAGCCTCATTCTCGCCTCCTTAACCTGTCCGTCTTCCCTTGACTGACCTACCCCCATCCTAACTCCCCACCTACACTCACCTTTACTGGCTCCATCCCCGCCTCTTTGACATGTCCGTCTCCTCTCCACCTATCTGCTCCTTTATCCATCTTCTATCCGTCTCCCCCTCTCTTATTTCAGAACCCCCTTCCCCTCCCCCATCTCTGAAGAAGGGTCCAGACCCGAAACGTCAACTTTCCTGCTCCTCTGATGCTGCTTGGCCTGCTGTGTTCATCCAGCTCTACACCTTGTTATCTTAAATCAAAACATTAGCCTGGCCTTCTGGATAGCTAGTCTGGTGACTTTATCTATTACACCACAACCTCCCCACTTCTCTTGGATTGTCAGATTTTCTAAACTCTACAGGAAGTGAAGCTTCAGCTCTGAGCTGATGAATACCAGGAACAACAAAATATGTTAATTTTTTAAAAACATTTTTTTTTTGTTCTTTCTAATATTAGTTAGAAAAATATTGGCAGCAAGGGAGGACTGACCTGGTCAGGGGTGGATAGCCATGTAATAAAATCTGCAGTTCTTGCTGTCAGTAATGTGTCTAAGCAAGTTTGGCACTCCTCGTTTGGCTCAGTGGAGAGATCCCACTCTGCAAGACTCCATGCAAAGAGAGAAGCTTCAAAAGGCTGACTTTTTTCTTTTGTGGGCATCTCTGGCAAGTACAGCACTTGTTGCCCATTTCTGATTTTTTTTTTGCAAAAAAAATACTTTACTCATAAATATTTCTATACATTGTACAGAAATGCTTCAGTAACTATCTTCGCACATGAATAATCAGCAAACATTCAGTTTTGGTATTCCCTGCAGTTTGTTTTTTAAAAAAAAACACTTGGAGGAATTCCCCTTTCTTAATTACCCTTGAATGGAGGGACTTGCTAAGATTTCAGAAGGCAGTTAAGAATCAATCATATTGATGTGGTTTTGGAGTCACTTGTAGACCAGCTCAGGTAAGGGTGGCAGATTTGCTTCCTTAGAGTATGTTAGTAAATTGCATGTATTTTTAAAAAGTCAATTATAAGTGTCATTGCTGAGGCAAACTTTAAATTCCAGAGTTATAAATCAGTTGCTATGGTGGGATTTGAACCCATGTTCTGAGTAGTTGGGGCCTATCAGATTACTAATTCAATAACATTGTTCTATGCCACCCTCTTTGTTTTACAAGTTGGTATTCTTCAAACAATAGTTTTACATTATTAGAAAACAATCGCCCAAAGTCCACAAAGCCTGAAGACTGCATTTAGTGTTTTATGGCACCAAAGGAGCCCATTTGACCACACAGTTCTCCATAGAACAATCCAGTCAGTCCCATTCCCTCTAACCCTGAAAGTTGTTTTTGACATAATTGATCATCTCTGCTTCCTCTACCTTCGAACGACATCCAGTTCTATCATTTGCTAAATTTAACAAAGATACTTCCTCGTATACCCCTGCAACTTAAATCTGTAACCTGAACCAATGGCTAATGGGAACAGTCTACTCCATGCTGGCCCAGCCATCCCCATAACCCTTGAATGAACCAAAAAAAAGCTGTAATTATCCATCATTGAATTGTAATACATTCCTTTTTTTTTTAAAATGGACAGAAAACCATAGATTGCAGACTGGATATTTCCCTAGGTAGGTGTTCCAGGTAACTGAATCACCCAATGGGTGGCAACAGAGGCTATATTATGCATAAACCTATAAGGATAGAGGTGTTTGTGCATGAGAATAAATGTGGGAACAAAGTACTGCAGCTGCTGGAAGCGACACTGAAAACAACAAATGCTGGATATCACAGCAGGTCAGACAGCGTCCATGAAGAGAGAGCAAGCTACTGTTTTGAGTCTATATGCCTCTTCTTCAGTCCTTACAAAGCCATTGACTCTCATAGCTAGCTTCACTATAGCTTGTCACACCCAACTCCTGCAAGGACTCCATCCCATTCTCCCAGTTCTTTCGTTTACGTTGTATCTGTTTGGATGATGCTACCTTCCAAAACAATGCTGTTGACATGGCTGGCTTCTTCCATGACTGTTGTTTCCCACCCACTGTGGTTGACAGGGCCCTCAACTGCATCCGCTCTTGCTCCTTCCCATCACTCTCCTCAGCGTGATCAGGTTCTCCTTGTCCTCACTTTTCATCCCACCCACATCCACATTCAAAGGATCATTCTCCACCATTTCAGATAACTCCAGCAGAACGCCACCATCAAACACATCTTCCCCTCAGTCCCTTTGTCTGCAATTGGCAGGGATCCTTTCCTCTGGGACACCCTAGTGCATTTCACAACCACCACCACTCTCTCCATGACACCTTCCCATGCAACCACAGAAGGTGCAACACCTGCCTGTTCACCTCCTCCCTGCTCACCATCCAAGGGCCTAAATAATCTTTCCAGGTGAAGGAGCATTTCACCTGTACCACCTCCAACCTTGTGAATTGCATTTGTTGCACCTAACGTGGCCGACTCTATGTTGGAGAAATCAAATGCAGACTGGGTGACTGCTTTTTGGAACACTTCTGGTCTGTGCGCAAGTATGGCCCGACCTTCCTGTAGCCGGTCATTTTAACACAGCGTCCTGCTCATGTGCCCACTTGTCTGATCTCGGCATGCTGCAGTGCTCCAGCGAACCACAGAGCAAAATGGAGGAACAATGTCCCTTCAGACTTTGCTTAACAGCCTTCTGGACTTAATATTGAGTTAAACACCTTTTTTAAATTGTGAACCATTTCTTCCTTTTAGCTTGTTATCATGTCCTCTCCCCACCACCACCATCCCCTCGCCCCTGGCCCCATCCCAGTTGCTGTCATAGTCGTACAGCACGGAAACAGACTCTTTGGTCCAACCAGTCCATGCCTGCATCCACCATTTCCTTGAAGTTCATTCCATATGTGAACCACCCTCTC